TCCCAATCCCTAGGAACAGACATCCACCCTCCCAGCACGCTGCCTCTGGGGAGGGGGGCATAAACCTGGCACAGTTTGTGACAGGAGAGCTCCCCCTCAGCTATTTCTTATCATGGAGTCATGGAATGGTTTGGGGTGGAAGGGTCCTTAAATCTCATCTCATTCCACCCCTGCCGTGGGTAGGGACACCTTCCACTAGCCCAGGTTGCTCCAAGCTCCATCCAGCCTGGCCTTGAGCGTGTCCAGGGATGGGAAGTGTTTGGAGTTGATGGAATTGCAAACACCCCCCTGCACAGGCAGTACACCCTGGGGGTTATCTGGAGGTTATTCTGTGTAGGGGTTTTTCTTTTTCTTTCTTTTTTTAAGTTCTCACAAGAAAGAATCTGGGGTCAGGCTGTCCAGCCCCTGCCAATTCAGAGCGCAGGGCAGTTCAGTGCTTTATTCCACGTGGGCAGACAGGGAAGGGGAATCCACAGCATCTCCCATGATGAGGCTGCTCCAGCATGGTTGTGACAGCTGAACTGCTGATGTCACCCAGCTGATAACAGCGGGCTGCTTCTCATTAGCATCCCTGTGCCAGACACAGGGACATTCCCCAGCCCCTGCCAGGCTCCAGCAGACAAAATACAGAACAATCGGTGGGAAATGCGGCGGGGCAGCCCCGGGCTGGAATGTTCACCCAGGGTTTGGGGTTGGGTTTTACAGGAGCACAGTGCTTGTGCAGATGATAAAGGTGTGTGGGTCAAGCTCAGCTCTGCTGGGCCAGTTTATCAAACTGGGGTCGGAGGGCTCTTCTTGTGACATTTAGAGATAAGCATTTGGGAGGGAAATGAGATGGAGCAGCCTGTGAGGAGATCAGAGGGTGCTTGTGTAGCTTCAGACCCCAAGTAAATTACAAATACAGCGTTGGTAGCCTGGCCATTGTTATGTCCTTTGTACTGTACACAGGGTATTAAGATCTAGATAAATAATGTAGTTTAGTTGTCACAAAGACATTTGTTGCCCAGGATTTTAACACAGATTTATTCTTGGTTTATTTTCCATGGAGTTATTTTTAATGAGAATGGAAAAGGAGTTAAAAATTATGTGGATTCAGATTTCATTGTTTAGCTACTTGATCAAAATATAAACTCATTGTTTTTACTCATGTAAAGAGGAAATGCTATATTAGCTTTCAGCCATCAGATTTGATTCAGATAATGATACAGCATCCTCAGTCATGGGTTCTTCATCAGATACTGAGTTTGTCTGTGATAGAGCCCTTTTCAGAAAACTGCTCTACCCCTGATAAATCATCCAGAGAGAAAGAATGCATGTGTTGAGATGGCACGGAAAAATAGGCTAATAATGGGATTGTATTCCTATACTCAAATATTCCAGTGTGTTTGTGTTGATAAATTACAATTTGTTTTAATGTTCAGTTGCATGGACCCTTTTCAGCTGTTCTGCTTGGCTGCAGTGTTTTGGTAGCTCTGTGAGGGCTGGAGCCTGGATGCTTTTCCTGTTTTGATCACAGCCCAGGCAGTAAAGGCCACCACACTTTAAACAGATAATAAATCACTCAGTGTCCTTGCTAACCAAGACTGCAGATTCCCCTGGGTCTGAACTGAACGTCCTTCTTCCTGTTCAATTTAGTGTAAAGAAGGTAAAATTCTGTTTGAAGTTCAGTGTAATATTTTGAGACAAAGTCTGATGAGAAATTTTTCCAAACTGCCAAAAATAAATCTCCCTAGCAGAGCTGTGACTCGAGGCATATGTATTCTTGACTTCTGTCTGTTTATTTTTATTTCCCTTTGGTTGTGAGCTGTCTCAAGTTTTGATGTTGTTTCGCTGAGGAAGGAATTATAAAAGTACCCTATAAACTCTTTCCTATAAACTCTTTCCAAGGGCAAGGCAGGAAAAGAGAGGAGAAAAGAAAAACTGGTGGGAAAAAGGTGTTTATGCCTTTTGCTGTGGTGTGTGCCATTTATCCACTCACCTGCACGGAGCCTTTGGCTGAGTTTAAAACACTGGATCACATTCCTGCAGTTCCCTTTCCTGGCCTGTTTGCTGTGGGAAGGGAATGGCAGTGGGATGCTCTGTCTCAATTGTTCAGCTGCAACAGATTTCGGGTTATTGTGAAGATTTCAAGTTGTCAAAGCATTTACCCCATTCAGGTGTGTGCTGTGATGTGTCCTGGGATTGCCCCAAATGGATTGCAGTGGAGCTGAATCACCCTGAGCTGCCTTCTCCTCTGTCAGGAAATATTTTAAAAGCAGTTTTACCCCCACCACAAGCTGCTGTCTGAAACAAGACATGTTTTCCCATGATGGCATGAATTTTGCTTGGTAACGTTCTGATTGCTGGGATTGGTGTATAGCACCCTGAATTTGTTAAATGAATGCTCTTGAAAGGTTTTCTCCCTTTTTGTTTCTGTTTTTATGGCTTTGGGATGCTCCTTCTATTCCTCTCCACCCCTGCTTCTCTCCCTCTGCTGCTACAAACAGCCAACAACAACATCCCTCATTATTCAAGATGAATATGAAGGTGAAGTCCTGACATAGTTTAGATCCTGAAATAAAAAGTGCTGCAGATCCTGTCTTTCAGAAGTCAGGATGTGCCAGAGGAGGCAGTTAAATAGCAGGATCTTGGCTAGAGCTTGCCATGGACACAGGAGCAAGGATGACATTCTCCTGCCTCTGGATCTGGGATTACATCTCCTGTATTTCTGCCTTCACTTCTGACACCACTTTTCTGGCTGGTGCCAAACAAGTCAGTAAATTCAGAGACAATATCAGGGACAAAAGCCCTAAACCCAGTGGTTTTCGACCAGCTGAGATTTTTATTTCAAAAATTGCTTTGCTTGGATGACATATTTTTTCCTGATTTTATAAAGGGTGCCAGTATCCAGGCTGTAAATCTAATTCTGTTTGTAATTTCACTGGGCACTAAAACTGCCTCTGCCAGGCTTTGGCCTTGAATGTGGGCATTTATTTTGCCATCCGTGGTTATTGTTACTTTCTTCAATGTCATCATCATCAGGTTACAAAGAAAACACGTTCTAAAACCTGCACAGCCCTCAGGTCTCCCTGAGCAGGCAGGGAGTGGGGACAAGCTGCTCAACCTGCCAGTTTGCTTTGGTAAAGTGCAATTTGTATATGTTTGTATATGTTTGTGATCCAACCTTTTTGTGTCCCAAAACAGGCAGCAGGATTTTTCAGGAAACATGATTTGTATATGTTTGTGATCCACAAGGACAGTGTCCAACCTTTTTGTGTCCCAAAACAGGCAGCAGGATTTTTCAGGAAACATTTGGGTGACTGGGCTTGGCCTAAGAACAGAAGCACAGTTTGGTTCAGTCCAAAGAGGCAGCTCAGTAAGCTGCAATATTATCCTTGACTTGATGGGGATTAAGCTGTATTTTAGTGCAATAACCATGTCAGAAGTGAAATTTGACTGATCATTTGTCTTTGATAGCTTCATTTGCCTTGGGCCCCCTAAGCCATTTCTCAGGGAGTGGAAGAACTCCTGATACTCCAACTCTCTGCATGACTTGTCATTTAAATGACAAAAATCACTTCTCTCAAAAGCCTACTTTTCCTTCAGGAAAATCAGATTAAACCCAGGGCTGGGTGTTTTGGTGAGTGGTTTAACATCCAATATGTTGCATGACTGTAGATGTATAAGTAAATGTGTTGGAAAAGAGAATTTCCCAACTTTTTAAGGTCACCTTCTTTTCCAAAATGCTTGAGGCCTCAACAGACCCTTTTCTATATAGGGAAAATGCTTCAGATATGTCTTTGTGACCCCCTGCGTGAGGTTCAGGCAGTTCAGGGACTGTGTGCAGGTAGGAAGATTTCGTGGTGACTGTTCCAGTTGTGAGCAGTATTCCCAGAGCATCGTAGGACTCAGCATTGGAGGGGTTGTCCAGGGTCTGACCAAATCTCACCTGGCCTTAAAAATGGGTCTTTAGCACTCATTTAGCCCTAGTTCTGCTCAGCTGAGCCTTGGAAATCTCCAGCAATGGGAAATCACCCTTTCCCTGCAGCAGCATCAGTGCTGCCCTCCCGGGTGATGCCGCTTCAGGTTATTGGTTCAATCCTCTTCCAGGTTCATTTCCAGGTGGAAGTGCACTCTGAAGTGGCTGCTTGTGCCTTCTCAGTGGCAAAAGCAGGAGTGCAGCATCTTGGCTGCGCGTGACTAATAGTGTCCTCTGCAAAGTTACTGGATTTTATTCTTCAGGCACACACATTATTATGTGTGTGTTATTGAATTATTGAATTTGTAAGTGAATTAGACCCAAACCAGCTTAGAGGTGAAGCCATAGAAAATTTTATGTACAATAAATATACCTTTTTTGTCCTAAATAATCTCAGTTGCTAAGTAAAAATATGCTATAAACCTTTATAGTGATTTTGTGGGCAGTATTTTAATGAATTTTGTAGCACTGAGTGTGTTGTAATTTGGAAGAAGAAATTTTGAGTTATACAGAAACTAACAAATAATACTTGTCATCTTCAGTGAGTTACAGTTCTCTGATGACTAAAGCCAGAGCACTCTTGGGAAAATAATAAATAAACCAGAGATTTTTCAAAATGGCAACACTTCTAGTTGAAATGATGGTCCAAAATCATCTTCCTTTAAGCCTGGCTTCCATTTGTGGGAATTTCCTTGGCATAAGTTCAGAGGTGTAGCTGCTGTGGAGGTAGATAGAGACATTTACTGCTAATCTCATTAATGTTTCAGCTGAATTAGGAGACTGAAGGCATTCAGTGCTTAGCCAGCCCCACCACAGTTTGGATAATTATTACCATTTGCAGCACATGCAGGTGTATGTCAAACTGGAAATTCAGACCTGCTCAAAGTGAACTCCAGGTATAATTCTATTTTAATCAAATCTCCTACAAAACATGATCAGAATTTAAGTAGTACTTGAGAACTGAAAATAACATCAGGAAAAACATGATGCTGACTTGTCCTTTCCAGTGTTTCTGATGGCATATCCTGCTTCTGTCTTCCAGGACCTGCGCAAACAGGTAGCTCCATTACTGAAGAGTTTCCAGGGAGAGGTAAGAGCTGCTTCTGCTTCTTGTCATGTTTTCAGTGCTGCTTCACATGAGCCTGGTGTGCTGTGTGTGCCACAGGGCCCTCAATGCTCAGCCCTTTGCATTTTGTGTGTGCAGGGAATGTCAGCACCTGAAGGAAGCCTGAAGATGGAGAGGGAGGTTTTACAAGAGCACAAAGTGACACAAGGGGAATGGCTTCAAACTGACAAAGAGCAGGTTTAGATTGGATGTTGGGAAGAAATTCTTTCCTGGAGGGTGGGGAGGCCCTGGCACAGGTTGTCCAGACAAGCTGTGGCTGCTTCATCCCTGGGAGTGTTTAAAACCAGTTTGGATGGGGCTCTGAGCAACCTGGGATAGAGGAAAGTGTCCCTGCCCATGGCAGTGGTGTGGAACAAGATGATCCTTAGGGTCCCTTCCAACCCAGGTCATTCTGTGATTCTGTGATGCAGGGTTTGTGCTGGGCAATCTAAACTGGTCACATCTCTTTGCTCTGAGCCTCCTGTCACCGTGGCAGGGACCCAGGTGGCCCACCCAGCTCACTGGGCCTCACTGACCCTACAGCTTGAGCTGCTAATGAATGCAGTGTAGTGCCCTCATAAAACACAAGAATACTGCAAATTGTTCTCCCTGCAAGGCTTTTCAGCTGTAAAACATTGTATTCCAGAGGGCTGATGGAAAGCCTTGGGTTGGCAGGGCTTTGTGTGAGAGGCTGCAGAGGCTCCAGCCCTGCTGCTGGCTCCCACTTGGGTTTCTCCTCACAGCACTCACCCAGAACACACGAGCAGAGTGCTCAGGAGTTTAAAAGCCAACTGTTGTTATTCTGAAGGGTTTCTACAGGCAAAGGCAGCTGGGCCAATTAGAGAGTTTTCCATTTTGGCTGTGGCCAGATGGGAGCCGTGGTTCTGCTGCTCAGAAAGCATCAGGGAGGGAGGGTGAAATTACATTTGTCCTTGTAAAGCTCCGTGCCTGCGTGGGGTGCTGGATGGAGGCTTGAGCTCACACTGACACACATTGCACAGCTCTGCCCCTCAAGATTTCTGTTCCAGCACTTCCTCAGCCTATGAGTTGTTCACTGACTTTAGATTGTGGCAGTTCCATCAGCACAGGGAAGTTCAGGAGCATGTTTGCAGGGTAGGGATTTGAGCGCACAGCTCCCCTTAGTGAGGCTTGCAGTCCTGATCACCTCCACGTCCTAAATCTGTGTCCCAACTAGGCAATAATCCCTCATTTAAAAGCAGCATGGTACTTTTTGTTTTACTGATTTCCTAAGTATTGCTAGAAATAAATAAATAAACAGGATAACTTTGTCCTTGATATATCCAACAGACATTTGTGAGAACAAAGAATGACTTGCGTGAGTCCGTTTGCCAATGGAAATTTACACTTCAAAATTGCTCCGAGTGCATTGCAGTGCTCTTGGAACCTTTTCACTTCAGTTTCAAGCTTGCAATGCACTGACTGAAAAGTGCATGTGTGCTTTCAGCACTGTTCTTTAATGAAGGGAATGTCTGAGGATCAAGTAAAAAGCATAAATTTAAATTTGGCTACAGTGAAGGAGATTCTTCCATTAGATCTTCCCCGGTGGAGACAGCTCCCTGTTACCTTGGCATGGCTCACAAACACTCCTCTCCTATAGTTTTGCTTCACTGATATAAGAGTGAAGTTTATTTTGGTATAAATTCAACCTCACCAGAGTAAAATTTGTTGCTGTAATCCCCTGTTACGTAAATGAAGCACAAATACATTAAAAGATTGTGCTGCTGAATCTCTGAGCTGGTGATTCCAGTCTCCCTAATCGAGACAGGGTTTCAGAAACCTAAAAAACCTGAACTAATCATGATTGACTACATAAATGCACCACATTAAACTGTGAATTATGGTATTTGATTATAGATGTAATTACTGTATCTTGTTTTGGAGACAAATCAAAATACCAAGGAGATGAGCCTGTTCTGTTGAGTTATATTTGATTGTTCAGGATATAGATCTGGTTTCTGGTTGTTGTTAAGGCTGACTTTCTAAAACATCAGGAGATATCTGCTCTGGGTATCTCAAAAACAAGTTTTGTTGAGCAAATAGGCATCTCTCCATTTCAAATCCACAGGAGATGCCTCAATTCCTGTCCCTTGAGAGGCTCAGGGATCAACACTGCTGGGAACAGACACTGACCTGAGCAGCCCCCTGGGATTGCCTGGCAATAATTTATTACCTGTCAGGTGATATTTAATGTCCTGTGAGGAGCTGGCAGAGGGACCTTTTGGTCACACAGTACCTGTGGGATGGGATGTGAGCAGGGAGGAGGAATAGGGCAAGAGGTTCCCCTATTTTACTACACAAACATCAGTTTTCAGCCCCAGATTTGTCTCTGGAAGTGTTCAAGGCCAGGCTGGATGGGGCTCTGAGTAACCTGCTCTAGTGGAAGGTGCACATGGCAAGGGAGCTGGAACAGGATGGGCTTTAAGGTCCCTTCCCACCCAAACCTTTCAATGATTCTATGATTTTGGGTTTGTTGTTTTTTTTTTTTTAAAGATCAACAGCAGTAAATAAATAAAACAGAGGTAAGTGGAGAAGTGGTGGGAGTAAATGTTCTTTAGGGCCCTTCTGGTGGAGAGTGAGTGTCCTGGAGCAGGAGCAGGGAATGCTGTAGGAGCAGCCTCCACAGGCATGGTGGGTGGGAATGTGGAACTTTGGGGCACCAGCAGCTGCTCACTCAGGACTGAGGAAGAAGGTTCTTGCTTGATGCAGATTCTCCATTTCCCTGTGGGACAGTCTCCACCTCATTTTTGCCTCTGACTTCTGTCTCCACCCCCCGCTGCTGCTGCTGCTTCATCCTTTGCTCAGACTCTGCTCTTAGACAGAATTAGGTGCTTTTGGCTTGGAATAATAAACTAGACTCCACGTCAGAAAGGAAATGGTGTTCTGCCAGTCCCACGTGGGCTGAACTGTCCACGGGGCTCTGGGCTCTAGGGAGGGCCACAGATCAGAGGATGGAGGCAGCTCCCTGATAAGCCCAGGTGTTTAAGCAGCTTTGCATGGATATTGCTGTGTTCCTGCTCCCCACCCCTGCCTTTCCTCAGCACTTCTGCTGTGAGCCCACGTTCAGCACAAAGTTGGGGTTTTTTCCCTCTTTTTGCTGGCTTAGTTTCCCACCAGGTGGGTTCAGAGCAGCAGCTCAGCGCAGGGGAGCGGCCAGGAGAGCAAAGCCAGGGGCAGGAGCAGCACAAATGTGTCAGCTCAGGTTGACTTAAACTGTCCTTGAACTGTGCCTGGGTGAGCCTGACGTGACTTGGAGAGAGGGGAAGTTAAGCTCAGGTATTTATGTCCCCTCCCAAACACGATTTATGGGAGCTGCTGGTAAACCTGGGGCCAGTTGGCTTTTTTAAACAAACCCACAGGTCACTTTAGCCAATTTTTCTCTTCAGTTTAAGCGTGGAATGTTACTTCCCCCCAGTATTTTCCCTTTATATCATATGAATTTATAAATACCGGACAAAGCAGAACATTCTGTATTCCTTAGTTATTTATCTCATTCATTCAGACAACAACTGTTCCAGTTATCAAATATTCAGTTTCCATTAGTACTTGGAAATAACTTTTTTTTAATAGATCTCAGTGCATTAAATAACTGGATTTTTTATGATAAGAGTTAAAGTAAAAGCACTATGAAATGGAATTTAGCATACTACAAATTTTCAGATGCATTCCTAGTTCAGCATGAGCTCCTATTAATTCATCACTGGAGAATAGTTTTATTATAGTACTTTTTCCTTATTTAGGATCTTAATGGAAATTTGAAGGCAGTTTTCTAATTTAACAGAGTGTTGTGTCTGCTTCAGAGCTGATGGTACTGTTCTTTTGAAATCTGTGGGTAACTTTTCTGCCTTCCCTGGAAGATTTAAGGTCTGGGTGGTGTAAATAGGCTATTGTGAGCAAGACAGTTAAAAGTCATTAATTTCAGAAGTGTAAAATTCCTGTCATTTTGATCTTAAATCACTGTCTTGCTTTTCCTTTTCCTTGCCATTAACTTGAGGATGCAACTTATTAATGGTTTGCTCTCCCTGTGCTGAGCTAAATACAGGACAGAATCAGGAAAGGTTAAAGAGCTTCACCATGCAATCATGACATGATTATTATATATAATTAGCAAGGCATCCCTGCCATCAGCTGTCTGAATAAGCTGTGTTTTGGGTAGGTCACTGTGCTTTACCATGGGTACATCAGTGGATGGATATTTGTACATGAAATCTGGAAAAAAAAAAGGCAGCAAAAAGAAGGGATGTTCTTGGGCTACGTTAATTTACAGAGCTGAAGTTGTGGTATGGAAGTCTAATGTTGGAATCTGTATTTGTGAAGTCATCAGACAGATATTTTAAGGCTGGGAAAGGATTTCCTGAGGTCATTAGCATTCTTTTCATGTGGCATAAGAGCACTGTCCAACAGTAATGCAGTAATCCCTCATTTGGAGAACCCTCTAAGGCACAGACTCCAAAACAACGTGCTGGACTTGATGTCTGTGAAAGCCATTTCTCATATTCTTCTCCCAGAGCAAGTACTTTTAAGGGTATTGCCATTCTGATGAGACCACTCTGGCTCCCCACTCAGCTGAATTGCTCTTTAAACTATTAATTTGGTCAGTCAGTAATTTAATAATTTTCCATATGCAGACAACAGAAGCTGAAAATCAGTTTGATGTGCTGGAACTACTAATCATGTCTTTGAAGGAGTACTCTAATAATGTGTGTGCCTAAACCACTTCAGACCTACGTTCCTTCTGCATTTTGAGAGACTATTCCTGAGCTGATACTCATATTTTTTCTATTTTACCCCTTTAATTTCCTTATGTTAAATTTCCAAACCTAATTAATACAATTTCTTTCCTGTACATTCACTCCATGATGGCTCAATTAGAGCAGCAGTAGAACTGTGGTTCGATATTCAGGCCAACTTCATAATTGAAAACACATTTTCTTCTCAAAAGCTGCAGCTGGTTTGGTTCTGCTCAT